AGAAAAAAAAAGATGTTTACTCTTCCACAGTGCTTTAGCCTTAAATTTTTAACGTGTTTGCCCCATCTCTAATGTGAGGAAGAGCAAGGGCCTGTCTCAGTCTCTTCATTGTACGTGCGTACTCTGCAGGATTATTGAGGAAAGTTTTAATGGGTAGTAAATCCACAAATGTAAGTATTCTTTAAATGAGAAATACAGACAGTGTCCTGAAAAGATGCTTTTCCTAGGGCAGTCGTCAGTAAACCCCAGTGTGCATACCTGCCTGAGAGAGGAGGGCTCGTTTCGGTTGGGTCTGCAGTGGAGTCGTGTCTAACCTTTACACTGAAACTCTGCTCCCTGCTCTGCTTTGCAAAACCTGCCTTCCCTAGGAAGACCGAAATGCAGGTTCCACTAACCAAGACCTATTTGTCTCACTCTCACAGTTTGTTACAGAGGAGGACTGAAGCAACAGGTTTTTGTGCTTCAAACTTACCTAAGACGAGGACAAGAAAAACAGGAATAAAATTAATAATGATTTACTGTGTGCTGGAGAGCATAAGGCAGGGAGGAATTGCACACAGCTGGCTCGAGCCCATCACATCTTTCTCATCTTGCCACAAGCCTTGCATCAGACCATTAAACCTCCAGCAGCCCTTCCTAGTGCTCCAGATCCAGAACTGTGCAGCTTGGATGTAAGCTGGCTCACAGTGTCCCTGATAATAGGTTGAATTCAGGCCACTTGGACAATATTACCTTCTGGCAGGATTTTAATCTCACATCTAAGAGATGGGTGCTGATGGGTTCTGATGCTGCTCTGTGCCAAGAAAGAAAAGGATTTGCTCTTGTGAGTTTCTTTTGATATTGTGCATCAACATGACTGCTGTATTGCATAAAAGTAATGAGAACACACAGGTACTGGTGCTGGAGAAGAGGTTTTCTGCAGCCAAGGTACAGACAGAGCCTGAGAGCTCTGTTGCCTCAGGAGTGGCATTCGTAACTGTTTGGAGGGCAGTCAGTCTTTGCAAGCGTCCTTGAGAGCTATTTCTCCACCTCCTTCACAGTTCAAACAAATGTATGTGAAAATCAAGAACTTCGGTGATTATGTTGACTTGTTTTAGGATTTTTAAATTGTAAAAAACTGAAAAATTGTACAGGGTGTTTTATAGCATAATAAATATCTCTGTTTTACTGCGAGCTATTTCCAAGTAGTAGATCTCCCTGATCATCAAAAAAAAACAAGTTCAGCAGTGGACATTGGCTGTTCTGTATCCACCAGCAATCTTTCCCTTTTCTTCCCAGGGAAGGGAGGAAAATGGGACTAGGACCATTCCTCCACTCCTCTTTTGCTTTGCTTTGTCATGGTGAAAATGGGCTACCTAATTATGACTCTGTCTTGGAAATGAAGATAAATAGTAATGTGGGTAAATACTATATATATAATACTAAATATTTCTATAAACATTAAGTTACTGAAGCTGGGGCAGGGGTCCTCTAGATAATGTAGGAGTGTGTTCCCTGCTTCACAACTTCTGGAGTAATGTGGAGCAGTTCCATGTTTTGCTTGTATTTTGATAATGAATATAAGATGATTTAAACAAAAAATCCACTAAAATGTTTTGTAAGATAAGCTCTCCCACCTCTTACAAACGAAATCTTTGTTTTTTCCTGAGTCTTAAAGCGTTTTTTAATCTCCTTATTCTGAGTGAGACTGTCATTTGCTGCTTAATTCTACTTCTTTCTGTTAGCCCTGAGACTTGGTGGCATAAATAGAGTTTTTGCTCCACCAGATTCTTCAGCCTGGCTTCAGTCTGAAACTACATGATCCGGGCCCCTCTCCTACTGAAGGAAACTATTGGAACTTACCTGCATTTTGAAGCAGCTGAGATGACTCTAGAGCTGTGTGGTGAAATAGAGCAGATTCAGCTGAAAGCGAAGCCAGCAAAAAATTATGTTACTTTTCAGCTAGATCTAGTTCTCCCTGTATGATTTGTTTGTGAAGGCAAAAGCCAGCAGCCAGGGAGGGGGATGCTGCTGCTTTTGGGGACTTGCAAATCTCAGGCTTTCATAGGATGGTATCAAAACTTGCAGTTATCAACACAGAAGACTAAATGACACTGCATTTTTGCCCATTCTTGGCATAAACAAGAAGGGTGGGACTTCAGCTTATTCTGCTGGCTTCTTTCCATCTGACTTCAAAAATCTGCTGGTATGCATAGAGGAGCTAAAATTACTTGTTCTCCTAAACTATCAAAGGATAAAATAGTAGCACTGTGGCAAGATAGAAGCCCCTCAGATTACTACTAACAAATTCTGCAGGTAAAAGTGACAAGAAAGTAATATTGAAGATGAAAAAATTGACTCTCAGTATTAGAGTTGGTTCATAAACCTCTAAATTAATACTTACTTTTGATTTCATAGTTACCTGGCAGATGTAAGTAGTGCTCTATAGAAGCACTGCTTTTTTCCTAAGCAGTGTTAGTAGCTGTATTTTGTGTTTGGGAAGGATTATTATTTAATCACTTTTTTGAACCTGTCCGTATGCTGTGTTACGTATTTGACTCTCTTTATTTTACCTTAAGAATGATTTTTCTGCTTATATGATTGTTACCGAGGCTTGAGTTTCTGTCCTTGAAGTACACATTTAATTATTCTCAGCTACTCAATTACTAGAATTTGCCTAGGAAGATCTACAAGAATAGACCACTTTATTATTAACTTCAGTATTTTTGATAGAAAAAGGTTGTTTCGAAGATAATTTTTTGAAGATTGTTAACTATATGTTAACTAATATATTAACATTATATGATAACTAATATGATAACAGTAATAATAACTAATACAGAATACGTTAACTAATCGGACCTTTATTTGAACTGAGGTATAGTATTAGGCAAATTCTGCATCTTCTGCCCTTGTTCACTTAATGAGAAATGTTCTGGTACTGTTTTGTTTATTTAAGAAATGTGTACAGGTCTCCTGGGGTTAGTTTTTCTAGGTCCTGTGAGAGTCTAGGATGTAATGGAAAAGTAGTTTTCTTAGAAGTCAAACTAATGGGTGATCAGCTTCTTTTTTTGTATCTTTGGCATACTTTGTTATTCAGCAGAGGAAAAAAGTGCAGCATATTTTGCAGGCAGGCAACTACACTACTGCTAGATCAAACACAGTGGGCATTGGAAGCAAAGCAAACAATTTCAGAACTGAAAAATAGCAAAATCTCAAAATATCAGTGAGAAATTTGACTATTTAATTTGGAAGAAGTACTCCTAGATTCATCAGTTTCAATCAGAGCTATCAGATTGCGAACACAGCAATCTGTTGCGAGTGCTTTGCTCCCCAGTGTGCTTCTGCAATAAGGAAACTCGTAGCAGCAGCCTTCACAGAAAAGCACCATTCGAAGTAGGACCTCGTTATTCCCAGAAAACCTAATTCACTTGATAAGTGTTTTTGCCAGACAAAATGTAGCAGTTTCATTTGTACGTAAGCGTTCATAGAGATCAAAAGTTCTTTGTAATTGTTAACTCCAAGAATACCTTCTGGGTTTTGGGTGGACAAAACCCATAGCAAAGCAAGGGGTTAAGTAATGGGAGCTCTTAAGGCATTAGGTGTGTTCTGAAGTGTCATGCACTTTTATTTTGGAAAAAAATAAAGATAATGAACACATTGGTCTTTCACTCCAAAGCAATGAGTACAAAATAAATCCTGTAAATCCTTTGTATCCCACCACTGGAGCTGGGTGGCTGCTGGTTGAGCTGGGCAGTGGAATGAAGGGGATCCCACCCGTGGTTTCCAGGAGGATGTATCGAGCAAAGCTGTCACCGTTCACTCGCCCTGGGATGGGAGCTCGTGCCGGGGCAGTTGCCATGGCTGAGCTGCCGAGATGCCGTAGTTTGCCAAGCTGGGATTGTGAGGAAGAGGGGGGCCTGAGCCTGCTTTATTGAGATCCAGCTGATCGAACCCGGCATGACGTGGTTTAGTTGGACCATAAAGATAGGCCCGTCCGTTTAATGATGAGCTGTTGCTCTAGGTCTCTTGCCTCTTCTGGCCCCATTGCCAAATTTTCCCTTTTTTCCGTCCTCTGGTTATTAAATCCCGAAGAACTGGTTCAGGGAGCTAAATTTGACCAAAAACTGTTGATTCTCCTTGTAGTGCTTCATTGCTCTAAAGAGAGAAGAAATCCTACTAGCTTAGGCCTGAGAACTCAGCAGGGACATTGCTCATCTTGTGGTGAGGGCTGGAAAACATAATTTCTGTTCCATTCTTGCTCAAAACTTGCTGTATATTCCATTAATATCTACCTAGACCACAGAGCGTACCTACAGTTGCAAGTGGCATGTGACTTTTTAAAAAGTACAGGAAAATCCTGTCCCCCTGGATTCTTGCACAACGTGGTAGGTGATTACTCCGAGAGCAGCGCAGCCAGGGACATGATTTGCTGTTCAGAGGCTGTCCCAGTGAAAGTCAGGCTGTCTGAAATCATTCTGTCCCAGTGTAACTAGGACTCTGTGAAGTGTGGAAAGGTCTTCAGCGCTGTCAGCTGATCGCAAGCCTGGGTGAATAACTGCTTGCTGTCTGTAAGAACAGGTCAGACAGACGTGATAGCAAGGCTGATAATCGTGTGACTATCCGGGGCTGCTCTTTTTGGTTGGGGCAGCTTAAACCATGTCCTGGTTCCCTGCAAGCTGGTGTTTTCCATAACAACCTCCCATTCAAGAGGCATGCCACCTTCTTAGGAGGAGGAAATACGAATCATGGATGCTGAAACACTCCAAACAATTGTTTAAGCACTGGATGATGTGTTTTGTCAGTATCCCGTTATATACATACTGTATGTTTTCCATTAATTGTGCTGTAAGACATGGATTACATGTATGTAGCAAGGAAACAAAGCTGTGTGTCTGCTAATTAGAATATAACCCCACTTCTTATGCAAATGTAGGTTTATGACAACTCAAAGTTCATTAATGACAACTCACAGATTATTACTAAAATAGCTAATAAGATCTTCTTGTTTTCTGTTTCAGGCTGGCTGGAAGGAAAATCACGCAACATTTATGAATGAACTGAAAAACCTGCAAGCGTCAGGGCTAACAACCCTTGGTCAGGCCCTCAGATCGTCATTTGACTTGCTAAATCTCAACAGATTAGTGTCTGGAATAGACAATTATGGACAGGTAACAGATTTGTCTGTAGTCTTTATCTTTTGTAATTTGGTATGCTTTTTTTTTGGTGGAGGGATTTTGATAGCACAAGTTTATCTTTTTGCTTTTTATTTCTTTTATATTGTGTTGGAAAGCTGTGTATAAAACTTGAAAGGCGGTTTATTTTTTTCTCTATTTTCACATGCAGCAGAGAAGCACATCAGGACATCTGTCCTGGATATTCACTAGAATATACTAGTATTCTTTTCGTTGTTAAACTACAGAGAAAGCAGTGATACAAACACTCCAGACTGTACATGTACAGTTGTTGTATGGGAGTATGTACAATGAATGTACAGTGATGTCAGTGAATCTGCTTAGCGTTTTTATTGGTTATGTTTAGTTAACAACCTGCCTAGTCCTCCCTACTCCAGAGGGGGCTGTTAAAATTTTGTTTGTGTCTCACAGTTGTGAAATTCCGAGTTTTCTGTGCTAGTATTAATTTATGTACTGTTTTTGTGGGGTACAGGCGGTTGATCGTGTTGCTGGAGAACAGAGTAGTAATTTTAAAAATGTTTTCAGGCAACCAGCTGGGGGTGTGTGTGAGTGCCCAGTGTAGCACTGGGTAGTTCTGTATACCCCTTTACCTCTCTGTAAAGGAGATTACAGGATGATTTTGAAAGACTGGTCATCTTGCTATTTATTTTGTCATGATAAAAATACATGTTTACGATTGAGTATTACTCTCACTGTTCCTGTGCTTTCATCTCTAGGGAAGGAATCCGTTCTTTTTGGAACCATCTATTTTAATTACCATCACAGATGGAAACAAACTGACAAATACGGCTGGAGTTCAAGAAGAGGTAAATTTGTATTAGAATTGCTCAAATGATGATCTTGCAAGCTGGTGCTATGCTGAGATGAATATCAATTGCATTTTTTCCTTCAATTTCTTGCCACTTATTTCATAGACAAAAGACTGTCTATGTTGTCATTGTGAATCTATCAAATCTGTAGTTAGCATGAATTTTCAGACTAATTTCAGATAAACTAGTGAATAGGAGAGAAAATCAGGCCCTTCAGTTCATAAAGTAATTAAAATTTCGACTGTGTTTTCAGATGGCTTGTCAAATACTTAACAATATTTCTCAAATGTTGCCTTCTTAGCTTCATCTTCCTCTGAACTCTCCTTTGCCTGGAAGTGAACTCACCAAAGAGCCGTTCCGCTGGGATCAAAGGCTGTTTGCTCTGGTGCTGCGCCTGCCGGGAGCCGCGTCCGCGGAGCCGGAGCAGCTCGGGAGCGTGCCCACCGATGAGTCCGCCATCACGCAGATGTGCGAAGTCACGGGAGGTAACTCGCTGTTGCTGGCTCTCCTTTACATCTGGTATCTGACTTAAAATATTCCTTTCCTTTGATTCAGCTTTCTCTCTTGTTATTCTGTATGTGAGAATCTTTATATCGCCGTGTACAGATTAGTCAGGTTCCATGTGGGCCTACATGGTACTGTGTGAATTTGGTTTCCAGTAGCACAGAAGAAATCTAAAATAAATGATGGGATTGGAGCATTAGATTGTCCTTGTGGAGCCTGGCTTTGCTCAGCCATGAAATTTGCTATTTAAATGTTGAGTGAGTGGGATAGGTAATTCTGCTGCACAGCTAATAAGCTAGATACAATTTTAAAGGAGTTGATTCTAGAGTTTGTTCCTCTATATCTTCATCAGAATACTTCCTTAATTGTTGCTTGAAAAACAGTGTTCCTGGAGGGGATGTTAAGGGTTGTATTAGAGTTGGTTAGGTTTGGAGAAACAAAAGCAGATGAATTATGAAGTTTTGCTGAAATCAGAGGTTCTTAAGGCTATTTAAGCCCAGGCTGGACCAACCTCATACTGCCTTCAAAGCTTATTTTGCTAATGAGAATTCATGAGGTTAGAAACATCAGCTTGGTTTACATTTGAAAAGAACTTTGCTTTTTACATTAGCTTTTATTAAGTTTGCTATTATTTTAGGTAAGGTTGAAAGCCTTAACAAGGTGATTTGTGTAACAAAATGTCTTCCTTAATTAAGATTGCCCAAAGTTTGCTTTCTTATTTCTCCTGTATTGGTTTTCTCTTGTCTAGGTCGTTCCTACTGTGTTCGGACACAAAGAATGTTGAATCAGTGTTTAGAGTCTTTAGTTCAGAAAGTTCAAAGTGGAGTTGTTATTAACTTTGAAAAGTCAGGACCAGATCCCGCTCCTATCGGAGAAGGTATAGTAACTATGGTGTTCTTGCTTGTTTGTTTTTTTCCCTTTGGTACTCAAAAAGATATATTTTGTATGCATGCAAATATCCTTAAATGTCTTAAATTTACTTCCTACCTTTCCCTGCAATGTACAGGATGCACCAGGGGTTTAATATATTCCCCCCAAAAGTGATTAGCCATATAACTCTAACCTGCATCAGTGATTGAGCTGTAGTATCTCTCTGAATAGCCAAATCATCATGGATATTCTTTTCATAACAGTTGCATGCATGTGTTTGTTTAGTCTTGTTTTTGCTGAATTTTTATTAGTGTTAGTTTAGCACTGAATAAGTTGAGTGATGCCATATGTCTGTATGGCTGATCTTTTACCTGCCTGCTCGCTTTCCAGGCACTTCCTCAGCTCTGAAGGAAGCAACAAGGGGCAGTGAATGTTTGCAGGAAATGGGGGAGTTTGTATTCTGATGCTGTCAAAATTTATTTCTTAATTAAATTCAGGGCTAGCATATTTAAATCCTTAAATATCTCTGATTCTTTTTTAGTTTCTAGGCATTTTTGTTCTGCTACTTAATCACAAAACAATTAGTTTAAATAAAATGTTCCTAGTTGCAAATTAAAAAAAAAAAGTGCAAAGAACAGTCATTACTTTGCTCACTGCAAGCAGAGTGCATAATAAGGAAAAAGCATTATGCATTCTTAATGTGGAACAGTTTTTGAGATTTGCAGAATTTCATGATTGAAAGGAAGGAAAGAGT